ACCGAAGCTATACATGAACATGTTGCCTCTTTAAAATTTGTGTGCAAATGGCAATATATTTAAACCTCTTATGCTAAACATTAGAAATGTGCAGTTTCCACAAGCAATCTTAAATTGCCTGTCGAGATGCCCCGTTGGGCGATATCCCATGCAAAATTTCGTGAGAATATCTCCTCAAATGTAAAAGTTTTCCATACAAACACTTCATTCAGTTCGTTCAGTTTGTATGGCAACTATATGCTATAGTAATACGACCTAAACAATTTCTTTGAAGATCACACCATTGCCTTAGGCAATATCGTTCAGTTTGTATGGCAGCTATATGCTAGAGTTGCCGTTTCGACAAATGAGCAGCTCTTGGTGAGAAAAGAACGGGTGCAAAATTTCAGATCGATGTCTTAAAAACTGAGGGACTTGTTCGCATATATAGAGACGGACTGAGGGTCATTGCTAAATCGACTCAGCTCGTCACGCTGATCATGTATATATGATATATAATTTATAGGACCTCTGACGTTTAATTTTGTGTGTTACAAACATCGTGGCAAGCTTAATATACCCTGTTCAGGGTATAAAGATACATTTCAGCTGTACATGTAATTTTGCCTACTCATAGCCATATTTACCTACCTTATAGTTCAGTTCGTTTCTGAACCAATTATGGAAGTGTTAAGAGTTGAAAGATTCGGTTTTTGCTAAACATTTATTCCTTCTTCTACTTTGTCTTTTTCCCCCACACGACACAAGGATTATGTTTTTCTTCAAGGCTGAAATCGGTCCATTCCATACATATGTATTAGGGTGAGTCCAAAAATAACAAATTTTTGTCGGATAGAAAAATTCTTCTCTCGCTTCCAACAACTTGCAAAAATAGATCTCTTCATTTTTGTTTGCAAGTTAAAATAATGTTTTTTCATTGAGTTATAAAATTTAAAAGAAAAAAACAAAATTGCTTTAAAATAGTAAAACTTCAACCGTTAATATTTTTAAACAGTTAGGTTTACAAAAAACCGTAAGAGAGCATTTTATATAGCATTAAATTTTATTCAAAATCTATTGAACGACTTCATACATGGAGAGCCTTTCGCTACGAAGCGAAAAAAACATTCGTTTTTTTACCCCCCTAATATGTATTATCATAAATCAAAACATGTTAATTGATTATTGTCGTCTACAAAGTCATATGTACAGCATACACAGGAGCAACATATGAAGAAATGTTATGCATTTGCCACATTTCTTTCATTCTTTCATTTGTGGAATGATTTTGTACGGCATACAAACAACAATTTTAATCAAATTCAGATGTGTTGCTATCTTGATGTTTTTTATATATGTACGTAAAAATGCATAATTCCATATTTATGTAGGTTCGGTCTATCGCTACAATCTTTCACCATTGAAGCATGAGTAGACGTAGAATTGTTCGAAAATTTACAGTTTTTTTGGAGATTTTTATATCGTTGCATGGCATATATAAATTACGTGCCACTTTAAAGATAGGATAGTCTATATCTAATTTAGCTAAAATCAAAAATAATAATTGTAATTTTGAATAAAATGCCAAATCGAAAACTCATTATTTTTCCCGTTAACAAATATTTGTAATAATCATTTTCAAAATTGAACCTCAAGTACAAACCTTTCAAATCTTATGCAGATAATAAAGTTTGCGTCTTTATTCGTAAATAATATTTTCACTGTATTGAATAGTTAATTATAATAATATTATATGTATACCATACCAACAGCGACGCGTGGCCAGATCTTCTAGTATATGTATGTATATAAGAAAGTTTTGAAAGATGTTGGGAAGATACAAACATTTGATATGATTCTTAAATGCAGAATGCAATTTTAAGAACAATGCTTAAAATTGAAGAACCCTACTGCCTATCTACGTATAATAAAAATGTCAAATCAAGCAATCGAATTTCGTGAAGATACCTCGTCAAATGAAAGAGTTTTCCATATAAGCACTTGATTCCGATCATTCAGTTTGTATGACAGCTATACGATATAGTAATCTGATCTGAACAATTTCTTCGGATATTACATTGTTGACTTAGACAATCATCCATGCCTAATTTCGTGAAGATACCTCGTCAAATAAAAAAATGTTCCATGCAAGCACTTTACTCCGATCGTTCAGTTAATATGGCAGCTATATGCTATAGTGTTCCAATCTAAACAATTTCTTCGGATATTACATTGTTGCCTTAAAAATAACTTATGCCAAATTTCGTGAAGATATTACGTCAAATAAAAAAATTTCCCATAAAAGCACTTGATTTCGATTGTTAAGTTTGTATGGCAGCTATATGCTATAGTGGTCCGATATCGGTCGTTCCGACAAGTGAGCAGCTTCTTTGTGAGGAAAGGACAGGTGCAAAATTTCAGATCGATAGCACAGACATACCGACGGACATGGCTAAATCAACTCAGCTTATCATGTTGATCATTTATGTATCCGGTCTCCGACGTTTCTTTCTTGGTGTAATAAACTTCGTGGCAAACTTAATATACCCTGTTCAGGTTATAAATATCCGCCACATACCAGAGATGAGCGAGTTAATGCATATGTATCATGTGTAAAAAAATTACCGAAATCGTGCAAAAGCTGTAGTTATTGAATAAAAATCTGATTGGTTAGATGAAATTCAAGTACAGATTTAATGAGCATATTGCTTTTAAGCTCTGATTTTTTTTATTACTGGGCAACGAAAACTTGCTTATAACCACAAATCAACCCCACTAATGTCAACTGTAGATTTACTTGATGAGACAATATGAAAATTATTTGTAAAACTGTTGTTTGTTTTTTAATTATAATATATATGTAAATGTTTTTTTGGTTTATTCTTCTGTTATCACAACATTTTTCAGTACCACAAATCAATGCGAATATTCTGGAAAGTGTGTATTTTACTTTTGTATTGTATTATTATTAGTAAAACTACGCCCGGTCTCCCTTAAAATACAAAAAAAAATACATTAATTGATATATTCGTTACTGACCGATATTATGGGAGCTGTAGGTGTATATGATGTGCCCTACTCTTTAATATTATAGTACAATATATTTATCATATTTATACTCTCGCAACCTGTTGCTACAGAGTATAATAGTTTTGTTCACCCAACGGTTGTTTGTATCACCTAAAACTAATCGAGTTAGATATAGGGTTATATATATATAAATGATCAGGACGAAGAGACGAGTTGAAATCCGGGTGACTGTCTGTCCGTCCGTCCGTCCGTGCAAGCTCTAACTTGAGTAAAAATTGAGATATCTTTATGAAACTTGGTAGACATGTTTCTTGGTACCGTGAGACGGTTGGTATTGCAGATGGGCGTAATCGGACCACTGCCACGGCCACAAAACGCCATTAATCAAAAACAAATAACTTGCCATAACTAAGCTCCGCAATAAGATACAAGACTGTTATTTGGTACACAGGATCACATTAGGGAGGGGCATCTGCAGTTAGAACTTTTTTTTAAAAAGTGGGCGTGGTCCCGCCTCTAATAGGTTTAATGTGCATATCTCCTAAACCGCTAATGCTATAATAACAAAATTCACTAGAAGCAAATGTTTTTAGCACTTCTATTGACGGTGTGAAAATAGTTGAAATCGGGTGGCAACTCCGCCCACTCCCCATATAACGGTACTGTTAAAAACTACTAAAAGCGCGATAAATCAAGCACTAAACACGCCAGAGACATTAAATTTTGTCTCTGAGATGGTATAAATTGGCTTTACAGGAACCGCGTTCAAAATTAGTCAGAGGGCGTGGCACAGCCCACTTTTAGGTGAAAATCCATATCTTGAGATCTGCTCAACCGATTTCAACCAAATTCGGTGCATAACGTTCTTTTTATGTTTCTATGTCATAGTGCGAAAATTATAGCGAATAGAGTAACACCATTTTCAATTCCATCTGATTCTTTCACTTTCCACTATGCAAATCAGGTAACAATGATTATATCGGGGTAAAACTTTGCGTGAATAATGCAATTAAAGTATGCCACCTTGCGGCCAAAAATTGTCTAAATCAAACCGAAACTGTTCAAACCCCTAAGTACTAAATATGTGGACCCCAGTGCCTATAGTTGACCTTCTACCGAAAATATCAGTCAATCCACAAAGAAATCTCAAACGAGTATACCATTTGACTTTGCGAGAGTATAAAATGTTCGGTTACATCCGAACTTAGCCCTTCCTTACTTGTTTTATATATTTTTGGGGAAAATTTCAAAACCATTTTCCATATTTCTGTAGAAATATAAGTATAGTTCTGAATCGACGTTTTTGTCTTTCTGAGAATATGTAAGTCGTTGTAATTTGTATACCCTAAAGGCCCTACAAACATAACGATCAAAATCATATTCTTGTATGGGAAACTTTTTTATTTGTCCAAATATCTTCACGTAATTTGGCATAGGTAATTACTTAAAGCAACGCTAAAATCTCTAAATAAATTTTTCAAATCGGACTACTATACTTGTAGCTTATAACTGTCATACAAACTGATCCAGAATAGAAAAATGTTTTATTTGACAATATACTCGTACATATCTTCACGAAATTTAGCACGGATTATTGACCAAGGCAACAATATAATCTATGTAGAATTTTTTTTAGATCAGACTACTAAAGCATATAGCTGCCATACAAACTGACCGATCAATTTCAAATTCTTGTATGGAAACTTTTTTATTTGTAAAAGCTAGTTTCGACCTAGTACAACCGACGTTAACATATTTCTTGTTTTTATTGATATTGTGTCGTGTAAAACTTTTTGGTCACCCCGGACCTAAAATAGTCTGAAATATAAATAAAAAATAAATTCTCAATAAGCGATTGCAAAAAAGGACTATCATCAATTGTTTCTTCTATTATAACTGTTTCCTGCATTCATAAGTTTAAATGTACTTTATTTAAGTTTTAAATAAAATTTGAAATCAACATAAATTTTCGCATAAATTTTGTTCAGGGTGGTGCGAAAATACATATGTATGTACAAGTATAAAGGTTGTCTGATAAGAGGGCTATTGATATGTGCTTAAGCAAATGACAACTTGTTGCTAGACGCTGCTCAATGTTTAGAAATATTTCGATCTAGCCCAAACTCTTTATAAGAGAACCCATTCACAATTAATTGATAAAGCTCGTATCCATTTATATATGTATATGTATGTACATACATATGGCGAAAAATGATGTAAATCGGTAACCGGTCTAAATATTTATTTATATAGGGCTCTTTTTGCTATTACAACTGCTGGTGCCCTTGCTCAGAGCGCTTCCATTTCCATGCGTTGCGACATAAAGAGAAACTTCTTAGCAGTAGACACTGTCCAATGAGAGTGCACTAGACACGTTTGCGTTAAGTAGATACACTTGACTTACAATGTGCTCGTATTCCTATTAGCTTTGTCTTGCACTCGTACTTAATTTAGCACATTGTACATACATACGTAAGTGCCTATAACCGATTATGCATTCGCATACACAAATATTCATACATATGACCGTATAATTTTCTTTGCTTTCTTCTCATTAGTTGATTGCTTAGCATTGCATTTCGCACACATTGTACGATATATGTAAATACGAGAATATAAGTATGTCTGAATTACTGTACTCTGGCCTGCACTCCTGCAGTTGCTATAGGCCGCTGGACGGCCGGCAGGTGTCGGTTTGAATATCAGTAATGTTTTTTTCTGTGTTTAGTAAGGCCCGCTTAATCGCAGAGCATATCACGGCGCGGCTACGTGACGGAGAACGCTTTCGGACACAACTAAAACCGGAGAACCGTTAACGCGTAGTACTTAAGCATTTGTGCAGGCGTTTCGAAATGAGTGTGTATTATCGGTTCTTAGGAGTAAAGTTCTCAGCGCAGCAAGCCAAACAATAAGCAAGGCACTAGGAGTGGTAGCAACAAGTTGAGCCTTCAAAGTGTACGTTAAACAACTACAACAATATAAATAACCGAGAAAACAACTCTGCTAATACTGGAACATAACAACTAAGTATGTAGTAAGTTAATATGTCTTTTGCATTTTAATTTCCAGCAAAGAAATTTGGAGTCAATCGAGATAAATTATAAATGGGAAACTAGTTAGGTTGCCGGCTGAGCAGCACATCCCTGAAAGCGTGGAAGTGCTTTGTTTACATTGGCGTATGTGACCTCGAATGAAAGTACAAAATGAAAAACATGCGTGAATATACGTAGAATACGCATGATTTTCGTTATGTGTTTATTTTTGTTACGTATGAATCTGTCAAAAATATGACATGTCTATATAAAAATACTTAACTTATGTGCGTCTACGATTAAGTAAGTATAAACGTTCTTTAAACTTTATACTTCGGTGAAGTTTTTAAATTTTTATTGAGGTAACTAACACACACCTGCCAAAGGTGCTTACAAATACATAATGTGCATGTCTCCACAAACACATACCCACTTGCATACAATTTTAACATTGAGGAGACATATCAATATTGTCTAAGTTTCTTCAAAAATATTAAAGTCCTGTTGGTGCACAGCAAAATCAATTGTTAGGCGGCTGCAACATATTCAATATACATATGTACTTACATACATATATTGACCGCGTTCCAGGATCGCGATATTTATAGCACATTTCGTATGCAATATTGACGGATCGCAAATCATATCACAAAATGATTAACTATTTTCAGATTCGAAACGCGGATAAATATTGAACGTTTAGTACGTTTTGTATATACATATAGTACTAGCTATACGACGGAGCAAAGCCTTGAAAACATTAAAAAGTAATGCATTTATTTTTATTTTTAGCATTTTTAAAGATCTGGTCTTAGCATTTTTGCTCCAATGTTTTTTTTTTCATAATTAAACACGCTTTTCTTCGGAAAAATGTATGTTTTTGTATGTAGTTTTCCTTTGCCGCTATAGTACTTAGATTTTAAATCAACTCGTTGGCGGGAAAGTTTTCCTAACTCTTCAACGTAGAAAATATTGCTGTGTAAGAATTGACTTAATATACTCAAATACAAAGGAATGGTAATGTCTATTAGAGCTTTAGCTTGTACAGAAAATTGAAATAGATGCTTAAAAAACTGGGTCAACTATAATAATTATGACAACTTTGAGCGCGTTCACACCCTTAGCCTCTTGTTGCCTCCCCCCGCAACTCCTAGTTTGTAAGTAAAGGGGCGACGAAGAAAGATTTAAAGACAGCGCGCTATTCGTGCACAGGTAACACGCTTTGTTTTCCTGTTCGTAACAATTCGCTGCTACGTACTTAGTTTGGCATTCCTTTACATTTTGAAACTATTTTCCATAGTTGCAATTTCAATAAGTTGCAAATGAATATTTACAACATGTTCGATATTTGAATATATGTATGTAATATACCATATGTTTTTGTATGTAATATACAATTATGTATATGCATAATATCATACAAATATTTTGGTGAGTGAGGATAAAAATTAGTTAATAAAATTTTTTTCTGTTTACGGTGTAAAGGAAGCGTACAAGAATATGTTGTGAAAGGGAATGCAATGGGCAACACCAAAGAGAATTTCCCAATTATGAGCAACAAATGTTTCCGTGTATAAACCCAGATTTTTAAGTCAAATACTATAAGACTGAATCATGTTGCTATTGTATGTAAGCTTTAAAGTGTTTTACAGCTGCGTAATGTCTCTCAAATTGCAAGTGTTTTAAGTTATTTTTCTGTATTCCTATTAACCTTATATTGTATACATTTTGTATTAACGTAGTTGTACAATTTTTTTTATTACTTATTGTCTCTGATAGCTTTATTAGCTCAGCCTCGCCTGGAGACTCATATATCTAACGCATGTGTCAAGCCCAGCACAAACATACTTGTCCACACACAACTACATATATTCAATATAAACAGCGGGTACACATTGTAGCAGCTGTTTTCGTGTCTATCTGAGGCGTCGTAAGATGTAAAGAAGGCATAGTTTAACAATAAAACAGTTAATGACTCAAATAATGCTTTGAAACCATTGCTCAAAAGCTGAGAAAGTAGAGATTTCTACTTGCATTTTCCTGTGGCACATATTCTTTTGTTATTCGAATAGTTCTGTTCTTTGTACAATAGATACAGTTGCCGACAAAAGTCTACATACACCCCGTGTATTCGTGGTTTTAAAGAAACAAAAACTTTTTAGGAAAATGTATTTGTATTCCAAAAATTATATCTAGAGTCGAGCAACTGTACTGACCATTGTAAAAAACTTTAAAAATAGTGGTTCTACTGAAGTTAAAGCGCGCAGTGTTCATTCTAACACGCTATGTCGTTAGCTCAAGGCAGTGGACATATTATATATTCAAACTGCTTCAAATTCAAGCCGAATACATCACAAAAGAGTATCCATCCAAAAACAAAATAAATCTAAATGTTAACGGGTTCCACAGTGGAACACCACGCTAGGGGCCTCTTGTTGGGCAAGCTGAACTAAAAATGTTGTCTATAAACATTTGTTCATCAATTACTGTATTAAAACATTGTTGTTGTTGCATTTGTAACAAAACATTGCATACTCTTTCCTATTGGGTGATAAGAAAACAACGCGAAAAGCCGCTAAAAATTATCACCGGTAAATGTAAGTGCATACGAATATGTACATACACTGCGCTTCATCAGGTTAGCACATCTCAGGATTAAATAGTTTGGTTAATTTCTATTAAAACTAAAGAAGCTATAATTCTAAAATTATTAGCTATTATTAACGAATCAAATTTCTACTAAATAATACAACAACTATTGTTTTTCCTGGTTTTTCTATAAAAAAAATTACCGAAAGCAACAGAATAATTAACAATATAAATTAGGTCATCAGGTTAGCACATATCCCTTTTTTAGTATTTTTTAACATTTTCAGCCAAGAATATATTTATCAACTTATGTATTAATTAATTTAATCATTTGTGTATTATTTTAATAATGAGTAGATAGTAATAATGGGCGATTCGTACAATATAATTTAAGGAAATTAAAGACCAAGCACTTTTAATACTTTTAACTAATTTCTATTTGGTGGAATATTGTCGGCCAGACTCAAAAACTTTGTGAATCAATTATCCCCACACCTTTTCCATTAGGGGGAGTAAGGCGACCACTACATTTAATCGACGGTTTGTCCTTCAATCCCAGAATTAAACACCCGTGATGTGCGAATCGGTGCTTTACAGTATCGTGGAAAGTTGAGCAATACAAAAAATTTGGTATCAATACGTATTCAAACCCCGAAGAGAAATGCAAATCAAATTGCATGTGCTGACCTGTTGACGCAAAAATAAAGCACACTTTTCGACTAAAAAGTACAGAAAATGGCAAAAATCATATAACAGGACATTCATATCGCATGTTCTTCTTACCAGTGATTGTTCATACAAAGATGAGAATATCAGAAAACCATAAATAATAAAAAATAAAATGCAGTTACGTTTTTAACAAAAAAATTATAAGCAGTTATATTAGGCTAACGAAGGTGTGCTAACCTGATGACGCACAGTGTATGTATATGTATAAACATAATTGGCACTCACAGCGTTGCTTGTTGCTGGCCGAGATTCTACAAGTACTTGCGATATACTTACGTCATATTGTTATCCTGCCATTGCGGTGTCTGATCGCACTGATCATAATAAGAAAAACTTGCTAGTCAGCAAAACACTCCGTGGTTTGGCAATAATAAAACCAATTATTGCTTCGAGCAAAGTTTGAAACCACGTCGCACCATATGGTAGTCACACACTAAACGCTTTCACTGCGATCGTCAACATATAGGCATATGTATGGAAAAATACTGATCAGATTTGAGCTAGCTAACTTAACATCATACAGCAACCAAATGAATTGCTTAAAAAAAGCACTTGTGAAGTCATAAAATGTTGGAAATAAATATTAATATGGAAAGACTTGTTTAACGTTTTATGAACTAAGTATGAAAAGATCCATTTATATAGACCCAAATGTTGTGAGAATGTTAATGATACATTTTACAGTATTAAGCTTTAACGGAAAATGATCAAATATATAAATATGTCTTCTATTTATTTTACCATTTGCATTTCAAGCTAAATATTGCACTAGGACTACGATTCCATGATCCAGCTGTAGAATACGATTGTGTCAATGGACCCGTGCATTCGTAGTTTGTGGCGTAGTGGTGTCATCCCCATTCCGACCAATATCGAAAAGAAAATTTTTTTCGATATCGATCGCCTCTCGGCAGATGATAGTGAAACTACAAGCGTTTTATTGTCATAAAACACTCCTCATACACGCCATCAGCTTTAGAGTTGACGTAAGATTTGTATGTTCCTTATAACGATACTATGTTTCTTCTACTTCCTTAACGTAAACACGTTACGAAATGTCCAAAAATTTGCCATAAATCACTTTAAAAATATATCTATATTTCAACGGAGCACTTAGTTCATCGGCTATAAATCATAGAACTTTTCTCTTCCTCTTTTAATAGTGTTAAATTGTTTTAAAGTGTGCTTGCGTCGTTATCAGTGCCATTCTAGTACATTGTAATATTTTTCAAGATTATCATGGTTGTTGTGCAATTGTTCACATTATTAGTTTTTTTTACTTTGTTTGTTGTTAAAGATAGCGCGAAAATAAATAGTAACCAATAAGCGGTAAAAAAAAGTCTACTAAAATTTACAGTAAAGTGCAAAACGGTGGGACGCGATTTGTAAAAAATATAAAAAATCGTTATGTAACAAATGTAGATATAAATCGACATTTAGCAGTTGGACATGTATTTGATCGTTCAGTTTGTATTGCATCTATAAGCTCATCATGCTGATCATTTATATAAGTATGTACATATACAAACTTCGTGGCAAACTTAAGATACCCTGTTCAGGGTATAAATATTTTCATAAATATATCACCTCAGAGCGTTTGGAAGTTACACGCTCTTACACATAAGTATGTATATTGGTCCAAATATATCGACCAAAAAGTGCTGACATTTGCTTGCCGGCTCATAAGTAAATAAATATAATATATATACTTTAGGGAGGGCCAAAAACAATTCGTAATTTTTTTTTTCTTAGTTAGCATAAAAATATCATCGGAAACGATGAAAAAGAAATTCTGGTAAAGTTTGAGCCCTTAATATTAATATTAAGAGGTGCCTCATTGATATTTTCGATTTCCCATATAAATAACACAGGAAATTTTGTTTTTTTTCTTTGGATTTTTATTGTACACAAACGAATAATTGTTAAGCGAGAATCAACATATATTCTTATATAAAATTTACCGATCTACACAAAAAATCTGAAACTTTTTTTGGTTGAGTCTACTCCTGAAATGATTTCCTGTTGGACTTTAACTACGAATAACTTGAAATAAGTTAACTCAACCAAAAAAAGTTGCATTTCTTTTTTGTAGATCGGTAAAAATTCCTATAAGAATATGTTTTGATTCTCGCTTAACAATTATTTGTTTGGGTACAATAAAAATCCAAAGAAAAAAAACAAGTTTTCCTGGTGTAGATGTTTAACCCTACCTTTCACTTCCACTGATAGATTGTACCGATTCCTGGGAATTTGGCAACATCACTAGTTCTGAGCGTATGCGAATTACTTTTGGAACGCAAAGGGATATAAGATATTTTCAAGTGTGGTTTTCATTGAACCTTAAAACCTTCCTTACAATTATCTACCATTCAGATACCAACTTATTAAGTTATATTATAAGTCATAGACTCACTTGGCTTCATTACTATATCTTGCTTCGTGTCCGATATAATTATATTAAAATCAATCTAATTAAATGATGTTTTGCTCCAAGACCTGAATTGATGCGGGATTGTCCGCATAGTCTTTAGATTCTACCTGTATCTCCTGTATGGATAGGAAAAATTCTAACAGTGTGATATCACACGATCTTGGTAGTCAATTGACTGGCCCAAAACGTAAAATTATCTACTCACCGAAGTGTTCCCTTTCGATTCATCCATTGATTGATGCGATGTGTGAGAAGTGGCGCTGTCTTGTTAAAATCAAATGTCGTCGAGATCACGAGCTTCAATTTCAGGCATCAAATAGTCGATTATCATGGCGCGATAACGGTTGCCATTGACAGTATAATTTTTGAAGAAATATGGACCGATGACTCCACCGGCTCACAAACCACATCAATCGTTGTTTTTTCTGGATGAAATGAAAGCTCTTGAATCTCTTCTGGTTGCTCTTCGTCCTTAATGCAGCAATTTTGCTTGTTTACACACCCATTAAGCACGAAATGGGCCTCATCGCTGAACAAAATTTGGCTCGAAAACGTCGGATCTTCTTGGAACTTTTCAAGAGCCCATAGAGCAAGGCTTTAATTCTTGCACAAGCTGTATTTGGTTCGTTTTCAATTTAAGATCTAGACGTAAAATGCGTCAAGTCGTTCGATACGTCAGTCAGAGTTGCTCGCGAACACCGCTGTATCGATTCTTCACGATCTCCGTGTACACTCTCTGCTACAGCCGCTATATTTTCATCACTGCGTGCTAGACGTGGTCTATTCGGTAGAATATTATCCAATAATGAATGCTGGGTCTCAAGATGGGTAATGGTGTTGCAAATAGGACGCTCAGTAGGCCGATTATGTTAGCCATAAGTTGAGCGTAAAAAAGTTGAACAATTTGTAAACGTTGTTCAGGCGTAAGTCTTTCCATGATAAAATACCAAACAATACTGAACAAAAATTACATGATGATGGTTGGTATTTGAGTTCCTTAGATTAGCATCAACCATGCACGACTAGGATGCAGTGGATTTCACCAAAAAGCACTTCGCAAATTTCGTCAACACCCTTACATAGGATGTGGATGTGGATCCAGCCAAAACATCTTCGTTCAATGGTCGTCTCGATGGGAAGTCCTTTGGTCAACTTATACAGATCTAGGATTAAAATGGTGCGAGCCGCTACATTTTTATAATTCTGTAAAGACAGGCAGTGATGAAAGTTTGAAGTTTCCGAGTGAGCGCTGATGTTAAAGACCAGGATTCACAGCCATATAACAACAAGGTTTCGATGTTGGAGTTGAAAATACAGAATTTGTTTTTGGTAATAAGAAATTCAACGCTCATATATTATTCAGTTGAGTGTCAATTTCCCACCTATTGGGGTAATTTTACTACCAACGTAGCAGAATTCCGCTTTTCGATTAATCTCTTCCCTCTCTACTTCATAAAAGTTCAGTTTTTCTCACGTTTATTTTAAGACCAAATTAATTTGCTCGGCGCTAAATTGATTCTAATTCGACTTCAAGTCCGATTTTTTAATAGATAGCAGAGCGATATCATTAACTACGTAAGCTAGTCCTTCGAGAAGTTCGTAAAGATTCCAGAGTACACCACGTTAATGATTTGTTCAGCATATCGTCAAGAGCCATGAGGAACAGCAAAGGCGACACGCTTGACAAAGGGCACATTATTAATGGGGGAAAATTCTCTCCGCTTCAAAATTTAGTGTCCAACTTTGACAATTTTTAGACGCGAGGTGGCATACCTTAAATGCACTATTTGTGTGGTTTTAGTCCAATTTCGCAGATTTTTACAACATAACAAAAAAATACATGGATAATGTTAGGAATTAGATTTCACCTAAAGGTAGGCGGTGCCACGCCCATTTTTAAATTTTTTACACCGTTTCCTATTCAACCCTTAATCACCATTTGGCTGTGCAATTTAATGCGTCTGGGCCATTTATTTAGGCTATTTTTAATAGCTTTTATAGTTTACATTTTATTTATATTATATTTAAAGTTTTTCTAAACGGAATTTTGTGGGCGTGACAAGGGTGCCAAGAAACACTGGTATAAAATTTTACTGAAGTTAGTCACCCGGAATTATATTTATCTCCTCATATGATCCTATATAACGATGTGTCCATTAGGTGTTACAAACAACCCTTACTGTAATACTCTTTTGCGACATGTTGCGAGAGTGTAGAAATACTAATAGCAAAATTAAAGTATTGATCAGACATTATCAGTTATCAACTCCCTCAATATGTACATAAGGGTGGGTAAAATATACGAAATTTTTTTTCGCGTGTTACTCTGAAAAGTAGGTTCTTAGACACCTCTAAGGAAATCTATCCAAGTGTAAAAAATTTAAATCTCGCTTCCAACTACTTGAAAAAGTCTCTATCTCGTTTCGCAGCTTTTGTAGGAAATTGAATGCTCTACAAAATGGTATCTTACGATTTGAGTTGATGATAAAAATAATAGAAAACTGTAAGGCGGAGGACCTATCCGTTACAATAAAGTGCTTATACTTGGAGGAATTTTCGTAGAGGTGTCTAAGAACCTATTTTTCAAAGTACCAGGGAAAAAGTTGTCGTTTTATTTTGACCCACACTACAAACATGCAGATGTAGGCACATTTTTAAAATTGTATTCCATTATATTCATTAAGCATTAATAATTACTATAATGCGATAACTATATTTTTTAACTCATCGCCGTTGCATATTTACACCGTGAACAGGGTATAATAAGTTTACCACTAACATTGTAACACCCAGAAAGATACATTGGAGACCATATAAAATATGTCGATTTAGCCATGTCAGTATGTCTGTCTGTATATTCTCGAACTAGTAGCTCTGTTTTTGAGATATGGATCTGAAATTTGGTACACATCCTTTTCTCCCTAATAAGGTGTTTATCTGTCGGAACCGACGATATCGGCCCACTATACCATGTAGCTGTCATACAAACTGAATGATCAAAATCAAGTTCTTATATGGAAAACTCTTTTATTTGGCGAGATTTCTATACATAATTTTGAATGGATTATTATGCAAAGCAATGGTACAATCTCCGAATAAATTGTTCAGATCCGACGACTATAGCATATAGCTGCCATACAAACTAACCGATTAAAATCAAGATAAAAATAGTTTTTTACCCTTTTATGTTAAAAGAAATGCACCTGTGAAAGGTGTTATAGCTTCGGTGCAGCCGTAGCTAACGTTTCTTCTTGTTTAACGTACATACGAGTATGTGATTTTATTATATTCAATGTAAAATTTTGATTTTCTCGAGCATTTAAGGCGCTGCTGCGTATGTGTACGGTGGTACATAGTATTTGCATTTCAACCTTCACATCACTACACTCCAATACATACACACATAGCGCTATATATGTAGCACATTCATATCTATGCATAAATACATATGAACAAGTTTACCTTAGATATATCCGTGAACAAAGTACAAACTTTGGGAAATTAATGAATGAATTAACTTGAAGATGCGTTTGTGTTTTTTTTTTTGCATATTTTCATGTTCTCGCCCCATAACTAACTCGCCGCCGTACATTCGTGCGCATATGCGCGTGTTGTGGGCTTCAGCTTTTCATGCACAAAAGCGCTATGCAACAGATACAGCAGATACCCCGCGTCGGCCTCGGAGCTCCCGGCAGTATGGGCGCCGAAAGTAAACCACACCAATGTCAACAATGCATGAAGAGTTTCTCTAGCAATCATCAATTGGTACAGCACATCCGCGTCCACACCGGCGAAAAACCGTACAAATGCTCATATTGTGATCGTAGATTTAAGCAGCTTTCTCACGTGCAGCAACACACGCGATTACACACTGGTGAGTAAAATCAAATACTAGTAAACACAGTCCTTTTTTTGCATATTAGATGCATTTTGGAAACAAATCATAATTTTCTAAAGTAGTTGACACATCTTTGGGTAATTAAATTCTTAAACTCTATATGCTGGAGTGCACTCATTTTCGCACAATATATGTGTAGACTCGCTCAATTGAAGCCAACGACACTCGAAACTTAGTAGAGCTGCGTACACGTATATATACATGTACATATTTACATCTAAAATGCAAAACAACGTATCACCAAAAATTCGAAATTCAAATATAACCAAGTTATAACCAAATTGCCTGTATTTCTCGAGAGGAACGTCTTTCTCCGCCTCTTTTACAAAAGTTCATAACTGCTTCGTATTTGACGAGTTCTCTCTCCCTACAGCTTCCTTGACCTTTGCTAACTGAGACAGCTCATAACTCCATTTGAAGTAAACCAGTTCTTACCAACTTGCTGGTATGCTTGGATCGTAGTTTTGTTCATAGACCCAATTTTTGTCGACTCTATTATTTCAACGCACAATTTGGCATCCATATTTACGTTAATCCGATATAACAGACCTGTTTCATAGTAAGATATAGGGGTGCCATACATTCCTGCCGAAATGTTTAGCTGTTATCATCTTTTTTTTTATTGTGGATGCAGTAATACTAACGGACCAAAGCCACAAATTTTATCAACTGTTTCCGTGAAATAGGCTCTTTTTGCCCTTTTTGAGGGATTTGGCTTCATTTGTTTTGCATTCGCAATCATTTCGGTAAAACATCCGGGAATTTTTTCTATGAACTTGTAAGGTTTCTCTTCCCCCACAATTTTTATTGAAATTTCGTTCTTCTTTAGAACTAGTACAGCCCATTTTTGCAAAAGAAATATATTTTCAAATTTAAAGAGCAATGGATTTACTGAAGAACTGTTGAACTATTTGACATTAATTACAATTTTTGCATTTCAGTCAAATTCATTCAAATACTATGACTATTTCGCTTGCATTGCTATTTTAAATCACAGCAAAAAACAACTATATTGCACAAAAAATAACGGGACTCCATGAATGTGATAACTGTTACAAAAATCAATTTCGGGACAGAGTGCCAATATTTGAGCCTTTGTTCTGGCATAGCAAAATATAAATGACAAGAATATTTTAAGTTTAAAAATTCACTGGTGCTGCCAACCTAGAAAGTGCAGATTTGATAGATAATTAACCAACAGAAAAATTTTAAACGAAAAATAAAAACAATTTAATTTAGTTGTTGCTCACGAAAAGGTTAATAATTATTCAAATTCACATTAGAAAAATCTTTCGTGGCCAAAGTTTTGTTGACAATTAAATAACTTTTAAAAAGTGTTTGTTGCAGATTCATAATTTATTTTCGATTAAATGAGGAATCATTTTGTTTTTTTCTATGTGAGATGAAGGAACATTACCATAAACTCTCCATTTTCTACCTGCCGGTAGATAATTTAATTTAAAAAAATTTTTTAATTTTGTTTTTGGGATAAAACACAAATGACTAAAGAGGAGCAAAACGCTTCAAAATTTCCTGGGAATAGTAGATTGTACCGACTCTTTATGTTCGACACCCTTACCACGGCCCTCATGTTATACTTACTGTTTCCAAATTGAAGCTTGCCTCGTCATGCCTCGGGATTTTTCTCAAGAGGTTCAACAAATTTTTAAATTTTATGTTTTCTATTAATATTTTTTCTTAGTAAACGCAGCAATGTTCAACTAAAATTGCTTGGTAGCAGTTGAATTTTTTTGATTCTTTACTCAACCCCAGTTAAAACCGTAATACCACAAAAAAGTTGAAGTTTGACAACCCTTCTACCGGGTTGAAAACGGTAATAGTGGCCTATTTTAATTTTCACAAGCCACTGCTATTATTTTGAACACAGTTGTTGGTATGAGCATGAAATAATACGAAAGTATAAGCATCAACTAGAACGGCGGCTGCGTTGTTTTCAGATAACTTCACGTACCCATTTGCAGCCGGCGCTTACTCGTTTAAATGTTAAGTCAGTTATGTGTATGTAAAGTAATAAAAGTCGCCTGTTTGAAAACTAGGTTCTTAGACACCTCTAAGAAAGTCTCTCCAAGTATGAGCTCTTAATCCTCCGTCTTAAAGTTTTATATTTTTTTCTCATTATCAGATCAACACACATCATATAAAGGGTCTACCAACAATAACGTAGTATTAAAATGAAATAAAACACTCAAATTTGGTCAAAATGGATACTGATTTGTTAATCAGATAATTTTATGCCATTTATGATTCGAAAAAAATGTTGGCCAAATGGCCACCACGGCTCCAGGAAAAAACAGTCGTTCAAAATCGTTTTATAACGCTCGCTATTGATGTTAACGGCATATCCTGCCTCATTTGAAAAAAAATAAGGCCCGATGATGCCACCATACCACAATCCGCACCAAACGGTCAATTTTTAGGGATGCGATTGCGTTTACTGAACCACACGAGGATTTGACTCACCCCAATTAAGACAGTATCGTTTGTTGACGATCCATTAAGCCAGAAATGGTACTCATCTGGGAAGATGATTTTTCGATGAAAATCGTCGTTGGCTTTCATCATTTCCTGCGCCCAATCGGCAAAGATACATTCATGACATGATGAAATGGCAAACCTTACTGAACCCATTGACCAAATTTTACACAAATCCGTAAATAAGCATGGCCACCACAAGCTGGCAAAATCACATTATCCTATTGATAGACGCTGTATATATATATTATATATATATATGTTTTATTTTAATTATATGGTTTTATATACTCACAACCTTGTCACCGTAACCGAAATTTCTCAACAACATTTCCTGATTTATTCCCTAGATTAGTTTTGGAACAACATCAACAATTTTTATACCTTGTACAGGGTATATTAAGTTTGCCAGGATGTTTGTAATACACAAAAGGAAACATCGGAGACCCTATAAAGTATATGTATAAATTATTAGCGAGACGAACTGCTCATTTGTCGGAACTGCCAATATCGGACCCCTATGGGTCAAAATAAAGTTCTTGCATGGTAATTTTTTTTTATTTTTACAAGAACTCTCCGAACAAATTTTTTTATTTGGACCACCATAGCATATAGCTGTCATACACACTGACCGACCAAAAACAAGATAAAAATCTATTTATACCCTTCAATGCCATAAAAGATGCACCTGTGAAGGGTATTATAGCTTCGGTGCAGCCGAAGTCAACATTTTTTCTTGTTTCTATGTTCTTCTATTCTTGTTAACTGGTTGATCAATAACATCAGTATTAGAGTTCGTAGCGTATATGCCTTTTTTCATATGTCCTGATTTTGCAGTATTCCCCGGAGCAAAATAACTGGTTATGCTTTCCGCGAAACTTCTCAAATTTCATTAATTTACGTGTGAATTCTGTTAGTTCCGGGTGGTTACGAATTTTATGTTTTTTCCAGTCATTTTGAAAATTAGTTTTTTCATTCATTCGGCTTGCAAAACGCCTGGTTGGTGGTGGTGAACGGCTGCTGCTATTGCGTTTATGCATATTTGCAGCACATTTTTGAATATTCGTCGATTTTCGCGAGAAATTCAATTCGAATGTAGCTATTGACGCCGAAAAATAACCCGTAATCACTCTATTTTTTATACTAAATGCTGGAAAATCCTGTTTCCATTCCTATTCATCCTGCAGAGACACTCACTTTTTGGTACTATACGAATTCGCATGAACACGAAATTTCGTGAGTGCTACTAGACACAAAAGAATAGAATTCAGAATTTGCGCCTGCTAGCGTTGAGGACCGGGTGCACAGGAAGTGCGCGTTGTTGAGAAAAAAGCACTTGAAGTTGATTTAATTACAAAAATTATTTCTTGTATTATAATTACTTCGTTGCCGCATAAATATGAATACAAGTGCGAGTGTTTGTCAATGCATAACCACCTTCATAGGCATGTACGACTATGCTCTTAATAAAAAATTTTTTAAATAAAAATGATTTTTGTTTTCGCATTTTTTGCGACAAAACTGCACACCGAAATTATGAATTATTGTTGAAATGCAAAAACATATACAACAGTACGAGATAGAAAACACAAAGAAAACTTCTCGTACAAAAAATTATGATTGTTTCCCGACGCAATCTATACATCTAAAAAGCACTCAAATCGCATATCGCAACCATCAGTTGTCCTGTCTTGCAGGAGGCAGCACATATTTTATTTTCCAAGATCTCTTCAGCGTCATTGGTCTCGGCGTAGTGTGGCCGACATGTTATTAATAACATGAATCCCGAATGGCACAAAAGGCCAATTTGACAATCATAAATTGTGTGCATTCTGAACAACTCAGAACAAATAGAATGTGCTAGCACAACGCCGAAACTTAAATACAAATTTGGTATCAGTAATGAAAAATGTCCAAATGTTATTACCATTTTTAAATATTTTTATACCCTCGCAACGTGTTGGAACAAAGTATACTAGATCTGTTCACCTAACGGTTGTTTGTAATACATAAATCTACTCGAGATAGATGTAGAGTTATGTATGATAAATGACCAGAATGACGAGACGAGTTAAAGTCCAAGGCACCCTGTGTCCATCCGTTTGTCTGTGCAAATGACAGGTAAAGTAAAAATTGAGATACCGCGATGTAACTTGGTAAACGTGGTCATTTTTACCCTAGGGAGGTTGGTATTTCAAATGGGTGGTATTGGACCATTACCCTGCACACAAAATGCCGTTAAGCGAAAAGATATAAAGGGATATAAATAAGAGACAAGTTAATATTATATATAAAATTGGTTAACAGCATCAAAGTATGGTGGGCATCTGTGATTTGCAACTTTTTAAGAAGTGGTAGTGGCTCTCTCCCTTCTGATTTATGTACATTATACCTAGGTTTAAACCGAATCAACCACAATTGCTGAGAACAAGTCTTTTTAGCTCGCGCACATACAGCTCGCACACCTCACATATTAAGGTTAT